AGCTCAGCTGTTATAAGTCACCATGTCAAAGTGAAAAGAAAGGTCTGGAGAGTCTCATACCAAAAACTAAATGCTTTAAACCACAAGTCACTTCCATTCACCTTGCTGGCTGGGTTCTAGTCATATGGCCACACACTTGAAATATTTGGTGAACCGCAGGAATGAGAACCACTAAATTAGGTTTTAAATAATTTTTTAAACTGCCTTCAAGAGTTGAAAGAAAAAAACCTAGGTGAATAAACTCAATTCTTAGGAGTTTATGCTGGAACAAGGTTTCCTTAAGTACTGCAGTAAGAGAATTTTCACTTTTTACCTTATAAGATTATAAGATATTTCTGTATAAAGATTAATTTTACAAGATAAATATGAATATTTAAAAACTAAATACTCTTCAATAAGTTGCACAATTAGGATTCTAGTAATAAAAAATGTACTAAAATTTATTAACTAAGTTTTGCTGTAGAGTCTACAATATTGAAACAAACGAATGGTTATAAAATATGAGATGTCTATAAAAAAATACAGAGCAAGGATTGGCAAACTTTTTCTTAAAGGACCGGATTGAATTTTAAGATCGTGGGCCATATGGCCTCTGTCCCATACTAGTGTGCTGCTACAGTACAAAAGTAACAGACAATTTGTAAACCAATGACATAATAAAATTTTGTTTATAAAATCAAATGGGCAACTGTGGGTCATAGCTTGCTAGCTACTTATATAGGACAATTAAAATATTTTGCGGGACCAGCAGATGGCATAATGGTTACATTGCTGGACTCCCATGTAGTTGACCATGGCTTGAGCCCCGGACCTGGTGGCTTGAAACTCACATCAGGCCTCTGCGTGTACATGCCCAAAATCCTGAGAGGAGATAGAAGAGAAGGGACTGTGGTTTGGCCAACCCCCCCAGGGGGTGATTTTAGATTTCTGTCTCTCTATGTGTCTCTGGAGAATGCAAAAAATCTCTCTCAAAAAATTTTTTTTCAGGCAGGGAGTAAAGTCTTAAAAATATTTTAAAAGTTCACAACCATACAGTTAAGAAATTCTCCAAAAGAGCACACTTTATTTCAATATTTTGGGAGAGAAATATTCTTTTGGGGGGACAGGGGACTGGCAGGTGATATGGTGGTTAGCGATGCTAGATTCCCACATGGGCAACCACAGTTCAAGTCCTGGACCTGGTAGCTTGCTTTCTCACTCCCTCCCCCCCTTTCTCTCTCTCTCTGTCCTCGCTCTAGTCAAATTAAATATAAGTAAAGTTAAATAAAATAATTCTTTTTTAAAAAAGGGTTTTTTTTGTTTGTTTGTTTGTTTTTAGGCTTTTGACATAGGGCATTTGTGCTTGTTGGAGAGAAACAGACAGTGAAAGAAAAAATGAGCAATTATCCTCCAAGGAATGGCCATGTCATAATCTCTTCTCTTCCATTCTCCTCCCAGGATTGTGGGTAGGCACACACATATCCAGAGTGATTTTCAAGTCGTTGGGTCTAGGACTTGAACCATGGTCAGCCACGTGGGAGTCCAACACATTAAACCATCATGCCACCTGCTGGCCCTGAGAAATGGAATTTTTAAAATGATGTTGGAGTGACCGAGTAATAGTCAAATTTTCTGTTGCTTTTGGACAAGTCGACTGGTCTCAGGTGTAACAGGCATTTTCCAGAAACCAAAATACAAGGAAACTTCTGTGATCAGCAATCATTGAGGCCATCAACATCTGCAACTACAGCTTTATTTATAGCTTGGCCCAATAATGTTCATAATGATGATATACTATGTCATCAATAAAGACTAAATCATGCTAAGTACATTATTTTTTAAATTATTTGTTAAGTTTGCTGTAAGACACATGCTCACCAGAGACAGACAGAGAAAGAGAGAGGTAAAATGAGAAGGCACGCCACCAGTCTGGCACTCAAACCACGGTCGGCTATGTGAGAGTCCAGTGCCTTAACCATCATGCTACCTACTGACCGTTCTAAGTATATTATTTCAAGTAAAGGTGATTTTACAGTACTTTTATTTTTTAAAAGAGATTTTTGCTATAGGGCATGTGTGTTCACCAGAGAGACAGAGACAGAAAGAGAGGAATCACCCCCCAGGCGGATGGTCATACCACAATCCCTTTTCCTCCATTATCCTCTTGAAATCTTGGACAAGCAAGCACATGTGACCAGAGTGAGTATTAAGTTGCTGGGGGGTCTGGGACTCAAACCTCAGTTGACTACATGGGAGTCCAGCAACGTAACCATTACGCCATCTAGCTGGCCCCAATTATATAGTATTTTTAACAAGCAATTAAAAGTTAGCTTTAACTAACTGTAAAAACAATTTCACCCAAGGTATCTTATCCCTTGATGATGTAGTTGCTGCCACAGATGTGTTTTAACTCCTCACAAAATTAGTCAAACATCTTTTAATTTGAGGATTTTGAGTTGAAAATTAAATAATGTCATAACATCCAGAACTCTATTTGACCATACATTTTTTCCACACTGATCTGCAGATGTCTGTCAGTTAAAAAAAAAAAAAGTACTTAAAAAATAAGTTTATTTTAAAGCTTAGAAATAGGTAAATTAAATGTTTCATTTCATAGTTGAATAAACAAGTCTTATAATAATCAAGTAAAAATGAAATTTTTGCAACTTTCTTAGTACCTATATAGATACAAAAGACATTTTTCATTAAAGTCAGTACAAGTGAGTGATCTTGAAGTAGTTATTTTGATTGAACAAAAATGATGTTAACCATAAAGTAAAACGTAACAGATGTCTAAGAAAATGTAGTGATATTAAAATATTAATCTTTATTATATAAAGTATAGGTTTAAATTGTATGCTACCTTCTCATTGATAAAATGTTTACTAACCCCTCCTTCTGAAGTAAAAGTCTTCAATTCCTATTAATAAAAAAGATCACTAGGGCCTCTTCCTTTTGGTTAAGAAGTCTTTTATTCCATATGCATATAGTCACTGTAGGGATAATAAATAAAACTAAAATTAGTACCATCAATAAGAGGGTTATTTGTAAAATATGTGTTTAAAGAGGGATATTCAATATAAACAACGGAAACTTTAAGAGTGGTGGTAAAACACTTATTTTAGAATCAGGTTAATCGGGGTTCAAATCAATTGCTTGGATACTTGATTTGATAAACATTTTACTCATAGCCTCTAAAAGTGACTCTGATTATTAGTTCCTCTTAGTAATACTTAGAACAGTTCCTTGAAAATTCAGAGTGAAAAAAAGTTACAATTTCTTCCTTAAATTACTGGAGAGATGAAAGGAGATGAAATAATACAAATAAATGCAGTACTCAGAGCTTCAATATAAATGAAAAGTGCAGAAGGAAATCTCACAAAATGAACATAATGTTTTTTGGGTTTTGGTTTTTGAATGACCTCATTCACACACATGGATTTTTTTTTTTTTTTGAGAGGTTTTCGCTATAGGGTGCGTGCGCTCGCCAGACAGAGAGACATAGAGACAGAAAGCGAGAAATCATCCCCCAGGGGGGATGGTCACGCTGCAATCCCTTCTCCTCCATTCTCCTCTCGGGATCTTGGGCACGCATGCACACACGCCCTGCGTGAGTTTTAAGCCACTGGGTCCGGGACGTTGACTACGTGGAAATCCAGCGACATAGCCATTACGCTAACTGCTGGTTCCCCACACACATGGATCTTCAACAGGGTCTCATCATGCCCAAATCTAGCCCTCCAACTCCCCAGGATCTTGGCCACTCTGCATGTTTCCAGGTCATTCTGGAGATCTGAACCTAAGGTTAGCATGTACCTTCCATCCTTGTAGACAATGAGTTTTACTACTGTGTCACATAATGCTTCTTAATGTCATTAAACAGCACTTAGAATCCATCATAATTCTATTTTTAGGTAACAGGAAACATTAACATACAAATGCATCTTGGCAATTGCTAGGCAGTTACTAGAGAGCAATCGCTGGCTATTCTCTGAACAGGAGTGGCCGGAGGTAGGGCCAACCAGCTAACATTCTGTTTTTGCAAATAAAGTGTTACTGGAACACAAGCAGACTCATTATTTAGAGGCTAGGCCAAGTTGAGTGATGGCAACCACATGGCCCACAACTGTTTAGTACCTGGCCCTATAGAGAAAGTTTGCTGGCCACTGCTCTAAAGTACTGTTACTCAAAGGTGTGGTTTGCAAACAGTTTGTTCCTAATTTCAGGTAAAGAGATTGCGTGAAAATGTAAGCCAACTGTTAACAGGTACAATGCTTGTTTAAACTACTTTTTTGCATTGTCAGACTTTCTCAAAGGAGAATTTATAATCTGGTACCAGTTCCTTTTCTCTTAGTGGATAGGTAAGAATAGTTTGTTGGCCTACTTACTTTAAATAACACTACTCCAAAGGTATGTGAGAGTAGGAGTAGAAACTACCCAAAGCTCAAAAGGGATTATGGTGTCACTGAGAGACTTCTTTTGGCATAGAACTCTAGACTCTAGTGCCACACAGGGTTGGTTCAGCAAAAACTGAATGAAACTCAGAAAATGGGCCTTACATAGACTTTTTCCCCACTCTATACTCTTCTATGGTTTATATAAATATTCCAAAAACACTCCCTGCTATAGATTTCAGTTTCAACAAGGTGAAGGATGATAGCTAATGGGTCCCTTTCTACCTTTTATTGGAAGAAAAGATAGCTTCGATCCCTAAATATTCAAAAAATACTTTAATAATATATTTTGACTAGTCTCTTTAAGTTGCTAAGCAGATAGAAAAGTATAATATTACATTTTATTTCTCTCGGAGTCAAAAGATTTATAAAGCAAATATATTCTCTGTAACAACTGCAATATTGTTCCTGTACTTTAAGTCCTAATTTAAAATAAATCATGCATTAAAGAACATAGAAGGAAATCCTACCACTCACTTTAACATGAAATTTCTTGGAACAAGTATACAATCTCTAAAGGTAACAAAATCTGAATTAAGCAGTGATCTGACAAATGAAATTATTCTGATAAATAACTTATTTAGACAGATTTTTATTGCAAATATTTACTCAAAAACTACTATATACAGAATTTTAATAGCTGTTCAAAACATTTAACATTCAGTGAAACAAAACTTAAGAATTCAAAGCACATTTTAAGAAGTAAAAATGTAGCATTTTAAATAAAATTTTATTAGTACTTCAAAGCAACCTACTATTCTTCATATTATTCATTTCTATATCTATTATTTCCTAAGTGATAAAAAAAACAAAAACTGGAAAATCAATTTAGCAGCCATCTTATGGATAAATTAGGCTAAAATCCCAAATCAATTTTTTACATCACTGCTTTAGGTCCCATCTGAAGTTCCTATTTTTACATTTAAAGAAAAGTTATTTAAACATGGCTGAACATGTGCCAGGACACGTTTGCAGTTTGCTGCTTTACTAGCTTTACATATCTACATTACACCATACTTTGGTTTGACTTTCAGACCATTTTATGGGTCTATTTCTAGAGAAGATCATTAAAACAATACTGGAAGCATAAGAGCTACAGGAGTTTCCACAATGGGTTTCTACTTTATACAACTAGAACATCAAAGATTTCTGCACAGCTTACACACTGACAAAAAGCACAAATATAAATTTATTTTTTAATAATCTCACTTTCACTGAAAGTTTAATTAAGGTAAGCTTACAGCCTGGCAGGTTAACGTTTGTATGGAGGTACACAGATTTAAATATTCTGTTTACATGCTTCTGACAGACTGGAATGTTATATTAAATCCAAAATTTTTATGTTCATACAAATTTTCATTAGATCAATTTAGCACTCTAAGCATGCTTCACTTACCAGCATCATACTCAAAGCCTTCATTAACAATGCCAATCAGCTATTACTTTAAACCAATTACTCCCAAAAGGTACACGGTTTCCAAATCTCTTCCTTTAAATTAATTGAAAAGGATATACAGGTAATCAGGACTTTTAGCTTAGAACTGATAGACGTTTAAAAAGCTTTATTAATACAACGAATATTCTTATAATCAATTCATACTGGCAGCCAACTCCCACTATGTTGAAAACTGTCAAATGAGACTTTTCTATTACAAACTTAGCCTTCGTTAAAATCCTGTTGGTGTTTTTAAAACAACTTCTTGGAAATCCATACAAATAGTGCTATTACTAGTGAACTGATTTAATAACCTAGGTTGTACAGATAAAGCATATGAATGACCTCCTTCACATTTTTTCTATTCCTGAACTCTATGAAAACAACACTGAGCTCACCTGATAGCACTGTTCCAATTCCTCTTACTGCTGGTACACTAAAACTCAGAGGGACTAATTAATTTCAACTTCTTTCTTTTTCATCTGCCAGGTCTACTGTTAAATCTGTTGTGCTAGTGCTATTTTCTCCAGCAATGTCATCTGTTTGATCAGACACTACTTCATCAGTCTTGGCTGAAGGATCAGCACTACCTTTCTGAAGAATCTCTGTGGCTTCAAACTCAAGTACCTCTGAAGGAGTCAAAGGTTCCAAATGAATACTGCCTTGCTCACTAATGTCAGAACTAACGGATTCAGGTTCATTTCTTTTTCTCAAGAACTGATCAATGCTAACATCACCTGATGTTATCCGTAAATCTTTAATATTCTTTGAAGAAAACCTAGTTTCACTGGAGTTGTGATCTTTAATCTGATCATATGAAATTATGTTTTCTGAACTTTGGCACGTCTTGATCTCCATTTCCTGACAAACATGCAGTATTTGCTTTTCCTTTTCCACTTTATCTGCACCAATGTTTGAATCAGAGCCGAAGACTTTCTTTGAGCCAATTTCTTGATCTTCATGACAGGTATCATTTTCCTTATCTGAAACCGTTAAGCATTCTTCACTTTTTGTTACTGATGATCCTTGAAGTGAATTTGAATCACATCCATTTTTTCCTTCTTGTGAAGAAAGTTTATCTTCTTTACTGAAACAATAAAGCCATTTATTAACTAGTCCTTCATAAAAGTCCATCAAAATAAAGACATCCTCTAAAAAATAATAATAAAAAAAAGGTCTAAGCACATTTACCTATCAAAAAGGAAAACCAACCCAGGTCCCAGTCCTTTAAGAGAAGTCATTTTCTTGGGCAAAATCGTGAAGTTCTGGAGTCACATATTAGAAAGGAGACTTGGAGGCTCGGCTCAGGGTGGCACACACTGGCAGATGTTGCTATTCAGTAGGCTGAGGCTATATGGGAGGCCTGGGTTCAATTCCTGGCCTACATTACAAAGGCAGGCACAATGGTGCATGGTAGGCCCAGCTACTTGGGAGGCTGAGGCAGGACAATCATGACCATGGTGAGTACCTATCTTAAAAAAATCAAAACAAGCAGCCAGCAGGTGGCACGGTGGTTAAGGCGCTGGACTCCCACATACCTGATCACAGTTAAGTCCTAGACCTGGTGGATTGCTTTCTCTCTCTCTCTGGTGAGCACACATGCTTTATAGCAAACATAGTAATAATAAAAATAATAAAGTAAACAACTTTTTAAAAAGAAAACATAAGATCTGAGGAGTCTATTGACTGGCTGTAGGCCTGGCTATCACTATGGGATCTTCAAAAAGTTCATGAGAAATGCATATCATTAAAAAAAAGGCATGACTTTTAAAATATTTTTGCACCAAAATAAATTCATATGTTAACTCTGTTTTTCCACAAACTTTTGAAGTCCCTTATTTTTATGTTTATAACTTGCTCACTTATTTACTTTTTGCTAAAGGGCACGTGTACTCATTAGAGAGACACAGAGAGGGAAAGTGAGAAATCATCCTCCAGAGTGGATAGACATGCTGCAATCCCTTCTTCTCCTCTCTGGATTTTGGGCACACACGCCTGGTGTGATTTTTAAGCCACAGGGTTCGGTACTCAAACGGCAGAATGGGCCATGTGGGATCCAGCGACTTAATCTCCACTCCACTTGGTGTCCTGTATAGCTTGCTTCTTTTTTTGTTGAGATTTTTGCTATCAGGCATCTGCACTTGCTGGAGAGACAGAGAGCCAGAGAGACAAAAAGCAAGAAATCACCAACCATGGGGGAAGGCCATGCCACAATCCTTTCTCCTCTATTCTCCTCTTAGGATTTTGGGCATGCATACACAGGTGCCCAGCATGAGTTTCAAGTCACCAGGTGCGGGATTCAAACCATGGTTGGCCATGTGAGAGTCCAGGGACATAATTATCATGCCATTTGCTGGTCCCTAGCTTACTTGTTTTTAAAATTTAAGTATTTTTATTAATTTCTAAGATTATCTAAAATAAGGAATATATATTTGGGAAAAAAAATGTTTTCTTTTATGATTTATGTATTTTCTTATGCTTAGAATGTCATCATTCACTACACAAACCAGATAAGCATTTACAAACGATTCCCTGATTTTAATAGCCTAATTAAAAAAGTCAACACATACCTTAAAAAAAAATTAAGTATAAAACACATGTGTGTCAATTTATGTCTGTATACATATATATTCATGTATGTATGTTTCTGTGTTACTCTGACTCCAGTGTGTTAACAGAAACTATTCAGTGAATCATAAAATATTAGAAAAAAAGAATTTCTAAGATCTCTGGCCCCTTATCTAGATCTAAGACAGCTTATTTTACCAAAAATAAATTTAATGATTTACATACACCTATTAAATTTGGAATTCAGATGTTTTCTCAATAAATTGTACAAATGCCCTAGAGCAACATTTTCTAATGGCCATTTATTATTTACAAATTTACTATATGTATAAGGCTATTTCTGTGCCCTTTATTTTGTTTACTGATCTGTTTTCAGACAACTCCTAGGACAATACCATATTGTCTTAAAAATTAGAAATTAACAACAGGGACCAGCAGCTGGCATAACGGCTATGTTGCCGGACTACCATGTAGTCGACTGTGGTTTGAGTCCTGGACCCGGTGGCTTAAACTCACGCCGGGCACGTGTGCATGTGTGCCCAAGATCCTGAGAGAATGGAAGAGAAGGGACTGTGGTGTGGCCATCTCCCCTGGGGGGGTGATTTCTCACTTTCTGTCTCTCCCTGTCTTTCTGGTGAGTGCATGCTCCCTATAGCAAAAACCTCTCCAAAAATAAATAAATAAATAAAAGAAAGAAAGAAAAGAAAAGAAACTAACAATGTACTTTACTATTTACCTATATCTCACTACTCTTCATCATAAATTTCACAGTTTAAAGATATAAAATATATTTGTACAAAGTTGTTCATTATAACAATTTTTAGGGGCTGGCAGGAGGCATTGGCTGACCAGTTGAGTCCTGGACCTGGCGGCTTGCTCTTTCTCTCTCTTTCTCTCTCTCACTCTGTCTCTCTCTGGTCAAATGAATAAAATTAAAATAATTTTTTTAAACAGTAAATATGGAAATCTAATACACATTAGCAAAGAAAAATTTTTTTTTGAGAGATTTTCACCATAGGGTGCGTGCACTCGCCAGACACACAGAGACATAGAGACAGAAATTGAGAAATCATCCCCCAGGGGGAATGGTCATGCCGCAATCCCTTCTCCTCCATTCTCCTCTCGGGATTTTGGGCACGCACGCACACACGCCCTGCGTGAGTTTTAAGCCACCGGGTCCGGGACGCGAACCGCAGTCGACTACATGGGAGCCCAGCGTCATAGCCATCACACTAACTGCTGGTTCCCCAAAGAAATTATTAAATACATTATTGTATTGATAAATGAAAAACATGAACCTTATTTTAAATTTGTCAGTTTCCAAACCCTATTCCCTCTTCAATCAAATGTTGAAAATTTAAATCTATAAATTAATTTGGAAAATGGTCTATCCTGCATGTTATTACTATATCGTTTCTTTCTTTTTTAATTGTCAGAAGCTGTGTGTACTACCCAGAAAGAGAAGGGGGAAAGGAGGGAGGGAAAGGGAAAGA